TAGCCAGGATGGTCTTGATCTCCTGACCTCGTGATCCGCCCGTCTCGGCCTCCCAAAGTGCTGGGATTACAGGCTTGAGCCACTGTGCCCAGCCCCTAGTGTGCTTTTAAAGTTTGGCTACTGTTAGTCCTAATGAACAAAAAACACATCAGTAAGAACCAGACGTTTTCATTATTGGTGCTTATGTTCCCTGGCTTTCCCACTAAGTTTCCCTAATTCTCTATCATAATGAAGTGCTTATCTTGTTTACAATATGTAAACCTTTACAGTTTACTTGTGCTGTGGGAATCCCTATGAAAGGGGGTGGAAGGGAGGAAGGCAAAAAGCTCTTTATTGCTCTTCAAAAGTTGGAAAGTCATTATCCAGCTGTGTGACCTTGGGAAAGTCACATCATCACTCAGTTTCTATTCTTCATTCAGTAAAATGAGGTGACTGGGTTATCTCTAAAATCACATCCCACTTGGCTTGAACCCTCTAAGCCTGATTAGCTCACTTCCTGCTTGGATGGTACTCTGGTTCCCTTCCCATGGATTAGCACTATCCTTTCCAAGTAAGGTCAATTGTAGGTGAAATGACACCCAGAGTAAACAGAACTTGTCTCTGATGACTCTCCTGTCATCACAGTTTTCTGGTCTAATCTATATGTCCCAGTAAAGATTTACTCATGTTTTCAAGGTAAAACTTCAGTCCTTCACCACCAGTGCCAAGTGTGGATATTCCAAAGGCCCCTATAGAAGCAAGAGACCCATTCTTAGGTATTCCTCACTGTAAGGTAGGAGAGGGCAGAGAGGACTGAGATTCATTAGACTCTTTTCGTGGAACTTTACCATAAGGGCTCTGAATGACCTCAGACCGGCTCTGGGGGCATGAGAGTGTCTAAATCACCAAACTAAATAATGCCTTAGCTTACCTGTGTCTTCTTCTTATTTCAGTCCTATGGCTCTCTTTTCTTTTTTGACACAAGGCACCATCACTACTCACGGCTCAGTACAGCCTCAACCTCCCAGCCTCAAGTGACCCTCCCACCTCAGCCTCCAGAGCAGCTGGAACTACGGACATACGACACCACTCCTGGCTAATTTTTTTA